TTGTGGCTTGGTTTGTTGACATGTTCGTTGACACCCTCTTTTTTTGGTGGGGGGGGGGGTGAAAGGGGGGCGGGAAGGGGGGGGGAAGGGGGGGGGGGTGACGGGGGGGGGGGAAGGGGGGGGGGGGGAGGGGGAAGGGGGGGGTCCCACAATAAGGACTTATAAGGGGTCCCCTGCTTTGAGCAATGAACAGATACTGTCTCAGTGAGTGAGAGGAAGGGTCCTGCATTCTTACTGCGGATCGCGTGGCTCCCCGCCGGCAACAAAAATTGTCCCTGAACCCTAAACCCTAAACCCTGAACCTTGGCCGCAACTCCAGTTTAGCTTCTGCTTAGGTAGGGGGGAACCGTAAGCCCTGAACCCGGAACGAGATCTTTTGTTGACTGTTTGCGGAGGAAGGTAAGGTTCGCGGGTTTGGGGATTTAGGGCCCGCCCCCCTATTAACCCCTAAACCAGGAATATTACCGGCGAACAACGAAAGAGTCATCATGACAACGAAAGACAAGATGTGACCTATGGATGTTCGCCGGTTCCCGTTCGATGTCCGCCAGTTGGTTTTCGATGTCCGCCGACGGGACGGGACGGGACGGGACGGGACGGGACGGGACGGGACGGGACGGGACGGGACGGGACGGGACGGGACGGGACGGGACGGGACGGGACGGGACGGGACGGGACGGGACGGACGGGACGGGACGGGACGGGACGGAACGGAACAAAACGGGACGGGACGGGACGGGACGGGACGGGACGGGACGGGACGGGACGGCCGGGAGTTCGGGGACGGACGACGGGAGCTCGGCAATAACATATAGGCCCCTCGCTCCCCCCCCGGTATAAAGAGGTTTAGTTTAGTCCGTACTGAAGAGGCCGTTAGGAAGTTCAGGCCTTGACGTTAACGACTTGCTTGATCCGAGGTAGCCCTCATCTCTAAGAAACCTCGAGCAAAAAAACACCATCCCAACAGCATTCTTTGACAAAGTCCCATGTAGACGATGATATGGGGTGGTCTTTTTTTTTTATTGGGGGGGGGAGGTTTTGTTTTGTGTGGGTGGGGGTGGTGGGGGAGGGTCAGCCAGTTCTGTGTATTTCCATAGGACAAAAAACTACATCTTGTCACTATATGTCCATAGCAAGACATTCATATGATTTGAAGCAAGCTTGCACGGCTTGTAAAAAGCGGGGGGAGCGGGGCTGCGCGACCCTCAACCCTAAACCCTAAACCAGGCCGTCTTTGGTGTATCCAAGGGGCTTTGGGGGTGCGTCGAGGGTTTTAGAGTTGAGGGTTTTAGGCTCTGGGGTTGAGGGTTCGAGTTTGGGGGGTTAGGGTCTCTCGAGTTGAGGTTTACAGCCGATTCTGTTCAATTTCGGTTCTAACTCCCTGTCATTTCGGTTCTAACATCGGCCCCCAGCCCCCTTGTCAGGGTTGCAGCCAGAACTCTTCAGTTTCGCAAAATTGCAGCCGAATCTTTTCAGTTTCGGTTTTAACAAAGGCCCCCTCGCCCAGCCCCCCCCCCCCGCCCCCCCCGCCCCTCAAGCATCTTGTCTGGTCTAACATAGCCCCGTCACCCGTCCCTGCCAGGTCACAGCCGAATGTTTTCAGTTTCAGTTCTGGCATAGGCTACAGCCGAATCTCTCCAGTTTCGGTTGAACATAGCCCACCCCCTCAGCCCCTCCCCCCCTGGCAAGGTAGAAAGGCTTAGTCCGTACTGAAGAGGCCGTTAAGAAGTTCACTTGCTTGACCCCAGGCAACCCTCCTCTCTAAGAAACCTCCGAGTCCAACAAACACTAAAGAAGCACCATCCCAACAGCATTCTTTGACAACGTCCCATGTAGACGATGACATGGGGTGGTCGTTGTTTTTTTGTTTTTTTGTTTTGGGGGGGGGAAGGGTTGTGTTGTGTGGGCGGGGGTGGTGGGGGGGCAGGCGGTTCTCTATATTTTCATAGGAAAACCGTCAATATTTCCGTCGGAAACATGTTTCTGTAGAAAACCATGATTTTCTCTACATTTACAAAGGGAACGCTCTATTGGTGTGCATTTACATAGGACAACAAACCTCCATTTAAAATTCTCTATATGTCCATAGCAAAACTTGCATTTTGTCTATAAGAAGAAAAGATTCACATGATTTGAAGCAAGCCTGCACAGCTCAAAAAAGGGGGGGGGGGGCTGGGGGGGGGCCAAAAAAAGACTCATTATTCTTTGAAGCAAGCTTGCACGGCTTAAAACAAGCGGGGCGCCGGCGGGGGGGGGCACAGCCCGCCCCCCCCCCCATTTGCAAACACAATGATCACACGATGGGTTGGAAAAAGACTCTCTGACTATGCTTTGAAGCAAGCTTGCACGGCCCCCATTTGCAAACACAGTCATCGCATGATGGCTTAAAAAAAGAGGTTCATCTGATTTGAGGCAGGAGGGTTTGGGGGGGGCGCAGCCCCCTCCCCCCCCCCCACCCCCATTTGCAAACACAATGATCGCACGATGGGCTGAACAAGACGACTCATATGCTTTGAGGCAAGCTTGCACGGCTTAAAGAAGCGGGGGGGTTGGGGGGGGGCGCAGCCCCCCCCCCCCCCCATTTGCAAACACAATGATCGCATGATGGGTTGGAAGGAACTCATACGATTTGAAGCAAGCTTGCAGAGCTTGCAAAAAGTGGAGGGTTGGGGGCAGGTGCAGCCCCCCCCCCCCCCCATTTGCAAACACAATGATCGCGTGATGGGCTTAAAAAGCTTCATATGCTTTGGAGCAAGCTTGAACGGCTTAAAAGGTGGTGGGGGTTGGGGGGGTTGGGGGGGGGAGGGGGTGCAGCGCCCCCCATTTGCAAACACCATGATCGCATGATGGGTAAACAAAAATCATCTGATTTGAAGCAAGCTTGCACGGCTTTTAAAAAGTATCGATGGTGCTCTTCCTGCAAAGGTTTCAGAGTTTGAGATGCTTGGCCAAAAGGTTTTTCGATGCTCGGCGGAAGGTTTTTCGATGCTGGGCGGCAGGTGTTCGATGCTCGGCAGAAGGGTTTTTCGTTGCTCGCCGGAAGGGGATGGTTGCCGCCGGACCTGGATCGATGCTGGCGGGCCGTTTACGTTGTTATCTTTCGTTGTTATGAGACATCTTTCGTTGTCCGCCGGTAGTTTTTCGTTGTTCGCCGGTACCCACCCCCCTAAACCATACACCCCAAACCCTAAACCCTAAACCCCCTAATCCCTAGACCCTAAACCCTACCAGGGCTGGAGGGCTTTAAAGGATCTAGAGGCTCTCGGCCTTGAGCTTTAAGGGGTTGGGTCTCTGGGGCTCAGGGGGTTAGGGTTGCAGGTTTAGCTTTTTGGGGTTTAGGGGCCCTACGCCCTAAACCCTCAACCCTAACCCTCAACCCTCAACCCTCAACCCTAAACCCTAAACCCTCAACCCTAAACCCTAAACCCTCAACCCTAAACCCTAAACCGTATTGTCAGGGTTACCCTGAAAGCCTAAAAAACCCTCAACCCTCAACCCTAAACCCTAGAACCCGGAAGCCTAACAAGCCCTCTGCCCCTGCGGGGTTGCAGCCGAGCCGCGAAGGAGGCCTCCTTCTCATGCAGATCCTCGGCTGCTCCCTTGACCTGGGCTTAGGGTTTAGGGTTTAGGGTTTAGGGTTTAGGGTTTAGGGTTTAGGGTTTAGGGTTTAGGGTTTAGGGTTTAGGGTTTAGGGTTTAGGGTTTAGGGTTAGGGTTAGGTTTAGGCTTAGGGCTTAGGCTTTAGGGCTTAGGGCTTTAGGCTTAGGGCTTAGGGCTTAGGGCTTAGGGCTTAGGGCTTAGGCTTAGGCTTAGGCTTATGGCTTAGCGTTTAGGATTAAGGAGTTTAGGGTCGGGGGGGGGGGGGGGGGGGGGGTGTGGTTCTAGGGTTTTGGGGTTAGGGTTATGTTTATAAAGGGGTTTGAGGGTTTACACCCAAACCGTTTTATCCCCTAAACCCTCAGCTGCGAATCCCAAATCCACCAAGCCCTAAATGGATTCCAGGGTTAACACCTGAAACCCAAGCAAGGATTGGGTTCAGGGTTTACGGTTGAGGGGTTTAGGGTTTAGGGGTTGAGGGGTTTGGGGGTTTGGGGGTTTAGGGGTTTGGGGGTTTAGGGGTTTAGGGATCTAGGAATCTAGGGATTTAGGGATTTAGGCTGTGCGAATTCTCGGCATCCGGCGTGCTTGGGCTCGATTTTCGACTTCGGGTCCTGCCAAGCAAGGGCTTTCGGGTTTAGGGTTTAGGGTCCAGGGAAAATCAATCTTTGAGCTGGATGAACTGCTCTGGCTTCCTGTTTTGGAGCCCTAAACCCTGAACCCGAACTGCTCTCAAAAAAACCCAAAAAAAAGAAGGGTCATCCCTACGCCCAACTCTCAACTCTAAACCCACTAGACCCCCCCCAAGCCCAACACCCTAGAAACCATTAAACTCCGAACCCTAAAGCTCTAAACCCCAAAACCCTCAACCCGAAAACCCAAAACCCTAAAGCCCTCAGCCCGAAACCCTATAAACCCCCAAGGCCTAAAGCCTAACCCCAAAACCCCAAACCCCTAAACCCTAAAACTCCACCACCCCCCCCCCCCCACCCCGCTAATGCGAAGGCTCCTTCTTCTTGCCGCCCTTCACGAGCCTCTGTGAGCTTTCTGTGACATCTTGGGGGGAATTTCAGGAACCTAGGGTTCGGGTTTATAGGGTTTAGGGCGAGGCTTTAGGGGTTTAGTGTTTGGGGGCTTAGGGTTCAGGGCTTCTAGGCTTAGGGCTTAAGGGTCTTGTTTAGGGGCTTAGGGCTTGAGGGCGATGAGGGCTGTAGTAGACACCCCAGCAGGGCAGAGAGCCCCAGATCCAAGGAACCCTAAACTGTAAACCCCAAACCCTATAACACCTAACTTTAAACCCTACACACCTAAAACCTTAGTACGCACAACCTCTCAACAACCCCAGAACACTGAGTTCACATGATAAAAGGTCACGCTGTGGCAACCATTTTCTTCGGAACGTGACTACAGGGCATCAGCGAAAATGGTCAAAATGATACTGGTAATGACACAAATAAATAACCAGAAATAACATCCAAAACCCCAAAACCCCTCCTAAATCCCTAACCCCCCCCCCCCCAACAAAAAAAAAAAAAAAAAAAAAAAACTCCTAAATCCCTAACCCCCCCCCCCCCCAACAAAAAATAAAAAAGAAAAAGAAAAAAAACCTAAACCCAGCAAAAATACCAAAAACCCGGAAAACCCCTTAGACTTTCTGAAGCCCCCGAAGAAGCGCCAAAAAAACCAAGCCGAGGGACTCCGCCAGCTCCGCCAGGGGGCCCAGGTCCTCGTCGTCCTCGGCGGCCTCTCTTGGGTTTAGGGTTTAGGGTTTAGGGTTTAGGGTTTAGGGTTTAGGGTTTAGGGTTTAGGGTTTAGGGTTTAGGGTTTAGGGTTTAGGGTTTAGGGTTTAGGGTTTAGGGTTCAGGGTTTAGGGTTTAGGGCCCAGGGTTTAGGGTTTAGGGTTTGTTCGAGTTTCGGCCCCAAACTGTCCCTTGAGAGACTCCGAGAACCATCTTTGAGAACCCTTGAGAGGGGTTCAGGGTCCAAGAATCTGGGTCTTAAGGGTCTTCATGGTCGAAGGACACTTTTCAGGGCTTTCGGGGCTTAAGTGTTTGGCCCTCGACCCGAAACCCTAAACCCTAAACCCTAAACTCTAAACCCTGAACCCTGAACCCTGAGCCCTAAACCCGAAGGCCCCTCTGACAAAGCGATGCCTCCAAGTCGGCGTCCGCCTTCTTCATCCGCGCCTGCTCCTGCTGTGAAGCCGGGGAGGGGGCAAGGGGTTTAGGGTTTAGGCTTTAGGCTTTAGGCTGTAGGGTTTAGGGTTTAGGGTTTAGGGTTTAGGGTTTATATAGGTTTAGGGTTTGGGGTTTGGGGTTTAGGGTAGGAGGAGTTTGGGGTTCGGGCTTCGGGCTTTTGACTCAAAGCCCAAGAAAACAGCAGTCTTAAAGCCAATGAAAACGTTCAACAGCAAGTCAGCGGAAAGCCCTAGATGCCCACACAGGGGCAATGTGCAGGGCCACTGTTGTTCCTGATGGCGGTAATCACCCTATAACCCCCAAAATTTTAAACCCGAAACCCGAGAAACTCAAGGCTTAGGCCGGCCCCCTGAACCGGCGCTTAAAGCCCCCTCGACCGCGATGTGCCCACAGCTTCTGCGCTATAATCATGGCAAACCCTAAACCCCAAACCCTAAACCCCAAACCCTCAAAAAACCCTCAAAAAACCTCGAAAACCCTCAAAAAACCCTCGAAAACCCTCAAAAAACCCTCAAAAACCCTCAAAAAACCCTCAAGACCCTAAACCCTCAACCCTCAACCCTCAACCCTCAACCCTCAACCCTCAACCCTCAACCCTAAACCCTAAACCCTAAACCCTAAACCCTAAACCCTCACTCCGGCCTCGGCAGCTCGCTGGGCCAGCTCCCGTTTCGAGGGGGCTCGGCTGAGGACGTCGGCGATGGCCTGCACTGCAGGCCCCTTGAGTTTAAGGCTGGGGTTTTCAGGTTTAGGGTTTAGGGTTTAGGGTTTAGGGTTTAGGGTTTAGGGTTTAGGGTTTAGGGGTTAGGGTTTAGGGTTTAGGGTTGAGGGTTGAGGGTTGAGGGTTGAGGGCTGAGGGTTGAGGGTTGAGGGCTTTAAAGTTTATGGCTTAGGGTTTGGGGCTTAGGGGTTGGGGGTTTAGGGTGTAAGGTGTAGGGGGTCAAAGATCAGGTTTAGGGTATGGTGCTGCCTGTAGAGCTCTGTGTCCGAAAGACCCTAAACCCTAAACCCTAAACCCTAAACCCTGAACCCTAAACCCTAAATCCTAAACCCTTCCCCACGCCTTGAACTTGTTGCTGGCAGCGTAGCTGGCTGCGGTGTGCCCGTAGCTGTTCTGGATGTCCTCCCGCGGTACATGCATACCCCAAACCCTTGGCTGCACTTAGCAGGGCAGCTATAGTTTTTTTTTACGTTTTGCAGCCTTACTAAGAAACCCAATAAACCCAAAAAGGCTAAGGATCTAAAGTTACAGTAAAGCACCACAGAGAACCCTATACCCTAAACCCTCATCTCGAAACCCTAAACCCCACAAACCCTAAACCATAAGCCCTAAACGCCAAACCCTAAGCCCTAGAAACCCAACAAGCCCTCTGAACTTCCCTACGAAACCCTAAAGACTCTATCAACCCACTCTATCAACCCTTGTTGAGCCTTTAAACGCCAATCCATGCCCCATACAACTATTAACCAAGAACCAACTACGTGCAACTAAGGGTGTCAGGGTTTGAGGGATCTCCCCTCTGGCCCCAGGGTTAGGGTTTAGGGTTTAGGGTTTAGGGTTTAGGGTTTAGGGTTTAGGGTTTAGGGTTTAGGGTTTAGGGTTTTGGGTTTAGGGTTTAGGGTTTAGGGCTTAGGGTTTAGGGTTTAGGGTTTAGGGTTTCCTATCAGTGTAACCTACTACCAAAAGTAAGTTCGGGAGGCTGTCCGGCTTGGGATTTGGAGTCGGCGCTAAGCACAGGGTGTGGCCCTCGTGTCGTCCCCACTTAAACCCAAAAACCCAAACCCCAACTCAAGATAATCACTTCTGTGTGCTGAGTCGAAGTGTATACATGACTATGTCTACGTTGTACGACAAAAATTGTGCCACCGCCCCCCCCCCCCCCCCCGCCCCCCCTTAAACCCCAAACCTTGACCCTCCTCCCAACCGGGTCCTTCCGTGGATTGGCCTTCAGCAGTTCGTGGACCTTCGCACCGCTTCGCCGTAACGGGAGGCTTACAGTTGTTCAGGTAGGTGTTATGAGCTTTGGGTTGGGAGTCAAGAGTCTAGAGGAACAGCTCCACAATGATTAGCCTTTTCAAGTCCTGGATGAAAGTCAGCACCCTTTGTCTAGACGATTCTAGACGTTAAACCATCGTCCAGACCCATAGAAGCCCCGAAAACCCTCAACCCGAACAACCCCCCGGATTCCTTTGACGGCTCGTCTGCATGCGGTTTTTCGGGTTTTCACAGACTTGAGGTTTCGGTGGGCTGAAACTTACCCGCCCTAAGCCGCAAACACCCGCGAAACTCCAAGCCCCAAGTACCTGGACGAAACCCCCCAACCCGAAACGCGCGAAGCCCCAAACACCCCCAAATCCAAACACCCTGAACCCTAAACCCTTGAAACCCTAAAACCCCTATAAACGATATAAACCCTATAAACCTTTTAAACCCCACAATCCCTGAACCCTGCCCTCAACTCCTCAGACGCCGCCAAGAACTGTGCATCTCCACCCAGGGCCGCCCACGCAACTCAGGTGACCATGGTAGGCGGCATAGTGCAAGGCCTGGAGGATGCTTTTCCTTTTTTGGGGGAGGGGGAGGGGGGGTAGGGCTGGGGTTTTAGGGTCGAGGGTTGAGGGTTTTGAGTTTGGGGGGGGCGGGCTTTAGGGCTTTGAACTTAAAGAGCTTGTAGGGTAACGGTTGAAAGGGGTTCAAAGGAGTTTGGGCCGTAGCGGCTCTTGGGCTTGAGGATTTCAAGGCTTCACTTCAGGGCTTAAGAGCTTGAGGATTCCCTTGTTACGGAGTTTGGGAGACTTGGGGCGGAGAAGAGAGGAGATGTGCGACACTCTCCTCCTCCTACAGCCCGAAACCCCCACACGCAAGCATCTGCACCCTGACGCCCCTCCTAGAGCCATAAGGCCGTAAACAAGCCCTAACCAGCGCACGAGCGGTCGAGCGTGAGGCATCCCTCCGAGGGGCGTTTGCTGCATTTTATGCGAGTTCTGGGGAGCTACCTCAGAGGGGCCCGGGACTCCAAGCCAGGGTTTAGTTTTTAGGGTTTGGGGTTTGGTTCTTAAACCCTGTAAGCCCCACATCTGACAAGCCTTCCTAGTCCCTAGACCACTGAACCCTAAACCCTAAGCCCTAAACCCTAAGCCCTAAACCCTAAGCCCTAAAACCTAAACCCTAAACCCTAAACCCTAAACCCTAAACCCTAAACCCTAAACCGACACCCTATTGGCTGAGGGCGCGCGCCGTGTTCCCGTAGTCATCCACGGCGTCCACGGTGGCGTTCGAAAGCCGAAGCGCTGCCACCAAGTCCTGGAGCGGATTCAAAGGCTGCTTGAAGGGTTTAGGGTTTAGGGTTTAGGGTTTAGGGTTTAGGGTTTAGGGTTTAGGGTTTAGGGTTTAGGGTTTAGGGTTTAGGGTTTAGGGTTTAGGGCTTAGGGTTCAGGGTTCAGGGTTTAGGGCTACGGTTTAGGGCTTTGGGTTCAGGAGGGTTCAGGGTTTAAGGCTCCCAGGGTTTTAGGGGTTTAGGGTTTAGGGCTCAGGGTCTTTGGGGTTTAGGGCTTAGGCCTAGAGTTCAGGGCGCAGGGTTCCTAGCATTCAGGGTTTAGGGTTTAGGGTTTAGGAGATTTGGGGCATACAGGTTTTTTTTTGTTTGGGGTCCAGGGTTGAGGGTCCAGGGTCCTAGAACTTAGGGTTTCAGGGTGCGCTGGGGTCATAAGTCTAGGGTTTGGGCTTAGGGCGACCTTGGGTTGGGGTTGAGGGTTTGGCGGTTAGATTTGTTCAGGGTGATGAGGGATTTCGGAGCTGAGGGCTTAGATGGAGGTTTAGAGTTTAGAGTTTGGGGTTTAGGGTGTAGGGTGCTTCTAAAGCGTCACAGGCTTCGGGACTTACAGGGCTTACAGGGCTTCCCCTAAAACCCTGTACCCCAAACCCCTAAAACCCTAAAGCCGCAAACCCGAACCTCAAACCCTAAACCCTAAATCCTAAACCCTAAACCCTAAACCCTAAACCCTAAACCCTAAACCCATCATACGATTAGCCCCTAACCCCCAAACCCTGAACCCTAAATCCTAAGAACCGACTCGGCCGCAGCGTCCTTGTGGCCGGCCCCGGCAGCCTTGACATGACAACTAGTGGGATGGCTGGGTAGGGGGGTTTTTGTTTGTTGTTCTTGCTGCCCTTTTGTTGTTGCGGCGGGGCGGTGTGCTTTTTTGTCATGACAGGTCGATAGGGGATTGTTGGAGTTTCGGGGTTTAGGGCTTAGGGTTTGGAAAGTTTGGAAGGTTGCATGGTTTAGGCTTAGGGTTCAGGAGTCTCCGCCCCAATCCGAACCCTTCGGCCACAAGCGTAGCGCAAGCAGTAAAATCAGAACGCCTGAACAAGATGTGTGGAGCTAGGGTTTGTTAAGGTCCCGTAGCCCTACAAGCCTCAAAGCCTCAACTCTGAAACCCCAAACCCAAAAACGAAAACATACGAAAGCCCTGATCGTTAATTGAACCCTAAACGCTAACCCCAACCCAAAACAAAAACCTGCCAACCCGAACCCTCAACCCCAAAAAGCCTACGCCCACACTGGTGCAACAAGCGGTGCCTCCATCATGGGCGTTCTCCCTCCGTGACCCTGGTTGGCCACGTCCTTGGGCTTCTTAGGGCTTTAGGGCTTGAAGGGATTCGGGTTTAGGGTTTCAGGTTCAGGGCTTGGGGTTTGGAGTTTGGGGTTTTAGGGTCCTTCGGACACAGGGCCAAACAAAGATGGTTTAGTTTAAAGTTTAAAGGTTTAGGGATTAGGGTTTTCGGGTTAATAGGACTTCAGATTTTGGGGCTTACGGTTCTAGAGTTCTAGAGTCTTTAGGGTTTCGGGGTCGAGGTGTAGGGGGCTCAGGGTTTAGGGTTTAAAGGTTCAGAAAGGACTTATGGCTCAGGGTCTAGGGTTTCGGGTCAAGAGGGCCTTTGGGTTTTGAGGGTTGAGAGGGCTTTCGGCGTAGGGCTCTAGGGTTCAGAACGCTTAGGGTTCTGGGTCTGGGATGCTTCGGGCATCGGGTTCAGTCCTGAGGTCTATAAAAGGTGTTTTAGGCTTTGTTTTGTTGAGGCTTGGGGGGGTTCAGGCCTTAGGGTTAGGGCTTTGGGTCCCTGAACCCGAAGAGTGTTGGGGGGCTGCAAGGCCGGCGGGGAACTTTCGAGCATGCCATCCCCCTCCTTAATTACTCGGCTCTCACTATGAGCCACCCAATGTCAAGACCCACCCACCCCCTAGACCACACAGTCCACGATGACATTGGAGATCCAACATGCCCATGCGAAATATTCCGAAGCCCGCAAACCCTAAAACCCTAAACTCTAAACCTTAAACCTTAAACCCTAAACCTAAACCCTACAACCCTAAACCCTAAACCCTAAACCCGAAACCCTAAAGCCTAAACCCTAAACCCTAAACCCTAAACCCTAAACCCTAAACCCTAAACCCTAAACCCTAAACCCTAAACCCTAAACCCTAACCCTAAACCCTAAACCCCAAACCCTAAAAACGCCAAACCTTTGCCTTCCGGCCCCCTTGTGCCCCAGGCGGGATTGGCGCCGCTGCGGAGCAGCGCAGCTGTGCACTGCCGGAAGCCCTGCACGTCGTCAGCGGACCGAGCGGTTTAGGGTTTAGGGTTTAGGGTTTAGGGTTTAGGGTTTAGGGTTTAGGGTTTAGGGTTTAGGGTTTAGGGTTTAGGCTTTTAGGGTTTAGGGCTTAGGGTTTAGGGCTTTGGAGGTTGGAGTTTAGGGTTTGGGGTTTCGGGTTTAGGGCTTTAGGGGTTGGAGTTTAGGGTTTGGAGGGTTGGCGTTGAGGGTCTGCAGGGTTTAGGGTTTCGGATTCAGAAAAACTTTTGGCCAGACTGCCGTTTTAGTTCCTAAAGCTCTACTTCCACCCCCCCCCCCCCCCCCACACCCCCCCGCACGAACCAACCCAGGCTTGCCTTGGCCGTGGCGTAGAGAAGGGCAGTGTTGCCGTTCTCGTCCGTGGCATCGATGAGATCCGAGTAGCCTCAGGCGTCGGTCAGATTTCTCCGACCTCCGACTTCCCCCAAGCCCTGGCTGGTTCTTAGTCGGGAATGAGGGAATGAGGTACTGTATCCTATAGAATCCCTTACTTAAAAGGCCTAGACAACCCAAGGGCCCATACATCAGAACCCTTCAGAAAGGGTAAGGGACCATATTAAGGGCCCATGGCAACTATAGGTTTAAGAAGCCCAATTCCCAGACCCTGCAAGGTTTAGGGCTCCGGGTTTAAGATTTCCAGCTTGGTCTCGACACACCCTCAAGCCTAAAGCGTTAAAACTTGTGCGGACCTGTCAGGCTTCACTAAGTGACGGCTCTTGATTCAGAGCTGCGGCTTTTGCCCTTGGCAAAGACTGCTGGGACCTGCTGTAATAAGAGGGAATGTCCTACTTCTGCCAGAAAAAAGCTGAACCCTATATACCCCTAAGTCAAGTCCTGAGCCACGGACCGAGATCCTGGTTGTAGAGCAGAGCATTGACAATCTGCCTCAGCACACGAAGGACAAACTATGACATTTGGGGTTTAGGGTTTGGGGATGAAGAGGGTTTGGGGTGCAAGGTTTGGGGTTTGGGGGGTTCCCACGGCGGTACCTTGCACGATGGCTGAAGGTATCCAAGGCTACTCAGCGCGACATGAGAGATAGGTCATCTCATCGCAAGACCTAGAGTCTCAAAGATGTTAGAAAAGGGTGTTATGGTTTACCGTTGAATAGGATGGGTGGCGGATTTTGGCGTACCCACCTGGTGCGATAACAATCAACTTTCCACAGGGGGCGAAGGCTCTTCAATGCAGGACGTCTCACCCTCCATCCTCAGCAACGATTCAATCCAGCTCAGCAGCAGGAGAACACAAGGTACCTCTGCGCATCTTGAAGCACTTCAAGACACTTGCATGCGCACGGCAGCCGGAAAGCCTGAACTTAACCTTGCGAAGCTAAACCCTAATCCCTCGAGGCCCTCAACCCTAAACCGCGGACTTCACCTTCACAGGCCTACAGGGCGTGGGGGTACTGAGGATATTTGAGGACTGTCCTCTGACCAAGCCACGGGTAGCCGCTGTGGGTGGCGAAGATGAGGGCCGCGTCCCCATAGTGCTGAACCTTGCGACGGCTGAGCCGTCAAACCATATGCCCCTAAGGACAGGAGATTTACAAGAGGGATCAAGGGGTTTAGGGTTTAGGGTAGTTTGGGGTTTAGGGTTTAGGGTTTAGGGTTTAGGGTTGGTGTACAAGAGGGAAGAAAGGGTATATCCGGCAATGCCCCAAATCCTGCAATGCCCTGTAAACCTAAATCATGTACCCTAGACCTGAACCCAGGGCTTCAGGGCCTAGGGTTCCATAAGTGACAAGCTCCCACATCCAAGCACTCCTCAACACCCAGAATGCCCTGGACACCCTCAAGGCTTCACAAGTCACAGGGTTTTGGGCGTTGAGGTGTTTGGGGAGTAAGGTTTGGCGTCTAGATGGGGAAGCAACCGTAGGGCTCAGGATATAACAGGTGATACAGGGGTTTGTGGCTAGCCTAAACCCTAAACCCTAAACCCTAAACCCTGAACCCTGAACCATAAACCCTGAAGGTGACGGTTGACGACGAAGGTCTGAGGCGCCCGGCATACTGATCCAGGTAATTGGGCACCTGCCATGCGGGCGCGTACAAACCCCGCCACCCTGACCTCGCCGTGCATGTCCTGGGTTTAGAACTTCGGGGGTTTGGGTGGTTTTGGGTTTTCAGGGGGTTTGGGTGGTTTTGGGGGGGTTTTGGGGGGGTTTGATGTTTTGGGTTTTGGGGGGTTGCAGGTTTGGGGGACCGCATGTTGAAGGGTTTTATGTGACAGTTTTCTCTCTCGCTTCCATTGAAACAGACTTGAAACCCCTTACTACGGAGGGACCAGGTACTCACAAATCCCAGGGGTCTACGTAGAAAGGGGTCAGACGAATAACGTCAGAGACCCTCAACCCCAAAACCCGAAAAACCCTGAAACGCTAAACCCCTGAACCCTATTCACCCAAACTAGACCCCCAAACCCTAAACCCCTAATAGCCCTAAACACCTAAGCACGAACACCCTGAAACCCTATACCCTCACACCCTGAACCCCCTAAACCGTTAAACCCCCAATTCCTAAACCCGATACCCTCACACCCTACGTATACCCGCTAAACCCCAAAACCCGCCTCAAACTTTGGCTAAGTCCCCTCACAGAATGGCCTTGTCGTTGGGCAGACGGAGCTCCTCTTCTTGGCCAGCTTTGGGCGTTTTGGGTTTTGTTTTTGGGGTTTGGGGTTTGGGGTTCGGGGTTTGTGATTTAGGGTTTAGGGTTTAGGGTTTAGGGCATGTTTAGGGTTCTGGCTTCCTTTTTTTTTTTTGGGGGGGGGGGGGGGTTCGGGGCTTGGGTGTTTGTGGCTTCGCGTTGAAGCCTACGGACTTGGAGTTGAAGAAGGTTTCGGCTTTGGGGTTGAAGGGCTCAAGGGGCCCTATAGAAGCTGAATCTGTTTTTCAGGCGAGGGCTCAAGCAAAGTTCGGCCAGCAGCGCCCCATACACCCGAACCCTCGTGGAAGAAAAGGCTGGCATTCTCTCTGTTGAGGGATTTCGGGCTCAGTTTTTTACATGCCCTGAATACCCAAGCCTGCAAACCTCAAAGCCTACAGCCGTAAGTGCACCCAACGGACATTTCGCAGCAGCATTGGGAAGCATTGGGAGCGTGAGCTCAGAGATAAGGAACCACTGAAGCAGCGCCGTGAGAACGAAAAGGCGCTTGTCGTTGGCAAAGCACGGCACCAGCACCAGCCGCACGCCGGCCTCTTCGCAAAGCTGTCGTTTCCTGCCATCCCGCTCCAGCTGGCCTTCAAAGCTGGAAGGGTCACCGAAATGGAAGTAGTGGTGAGGATCGAAGTGCTGCTCCCCCTGGTACTCGAAAGCCAAGGAGTGCTCGGAACAGTAGCCGTCCAACTGCAACCCTCCCAGGAACTCGGGGTAGGACGACGCAAACTTTGCAGGATCGAAAATAGCTTCCAGAATGCTTCGGATCTCAGCCTCCGTCTTCCAAGAGCTGGCCGCGCATTGGGGGCACCAGCTCTTCTGATGAAGGATGTTGGTGGCACTGGCTTTCCACCTGTGGCCGAGCTGGCATTCCCAAAGAATCTTGACTTTTTGGTTGCTATACGACTTGGACAGGCACCTCCCACCCATCGATGCGGCGTGTTCCCGAAGACGCGCCAGGCCAATCTTCTGGCACTCTGGGCACCACGTGCCACCGTTCATGACACTGTCCGGAGTTGCCTGCCACACATGGCCGGAGCTGCACTTCCAGCGCACCTTGGTGCGAGCGTTCTTGTAGTCCTCGGCCAGGCACTGTCCACCGAGGCGGGCGGCGTGGCTCCGAAGTTGCTCCAATCCCAGTGGGGCGCACTTTGCGCAAAGCGGGCACCATGTCTTCCCGTTTAAAACTTTGTTGGCGCTTGCAAACCACTTATGTCCTTTCCCACACTGCCACGGAACTCTTACCTTCATGACAACATATTCAGCAGCCAGGCACTTGCCACCACGCGCAGCGGCATGCTCCTGCAAGTCCCTCAATGTACGCTTGGACCGTGATTTGGTTGTGCGAGCGCACTCGGGGCACCAGGTCCTTTGGTTCAGAACACTCAACGCCGGGGCCTCCCAGGTGTGTCCCAGCTTGCACTGCCAGCGAACCTTGGTATGAGCGTTCCGGTACTCGTCGGACAAGCACTCGCCACCTCTTTTCATCGCATGCTCCTGCAGTTGGCGCAAGCTGAGACTTCGCTTCTTGATGGCGCAGCGAGGACACCAACCTCTGCGATGCAGCACATTGTTCGGTGTTGCCTCCCACTTATTCCCACATTCGCACTTCCACTGGACTTTTGCTCTGCTATTCATGTACTCCGCTGATATGCATCGACCGCCCTTGCTGGCCGCATGGTCCCTCAACCTCTGAAGCGCTGCCCTTTTGAATTCTTTGCTTTGCTTCTTTCCCTGGGGCAGTTCCAGAGCTGAGGAGCGGAGCGCCTTCCCATCGCGGCCTTGGCACTGCCAGTCTCTTCCATGGGGCCACGTCCAGTGTGGATGTGACTGGCCCTGCGCCTTAGGCTTGCATCTGCAGCTGAGCTTGTTGGAAAGGTTTCTTGTCATAAAGAGACCAACCGCACCACCTGCAATGGTAGCCAGCCAGCCTCCATCCGCAGCTCCTCCTCGTGGACGCCCGATGCTCAAGGGCCTTCTGACGTGCCGAAGCCTTGGAACAAAGCCTCTGCAACTCCTTCCATCAGCGAAAGAGCTGCCCAAAGCCAACATTCCGCATCTCAGGCCGTCTACGTGGCAAGGGAATCTGCCGACTGCAAGTCCCAAGATCAGGGCACTCAGAGCCTGGAAGCTGTTGAACCGCAAATCCAAAACCCTAAACAAACCAGGCATCGCTTCACCTCGTCTTTCTTCGATCTTCTTGTAGTGGCTCAGCCCCCCACCGCCCCACCCCCCGAATCAAAACTCAAGGCTCACGAGTCGTTCAGAAGCAGGCTTTAGCGTTGAAAGGTTAACAACCAGACACAAGCATAGCTACCCTATTCAGAACTCCGAACCCCAAGGTCGTTCTTACACACACCATGCCGATTCCTACCCGATTACCCGATTAATTCAAGCTCACCCAAAGCTACGGCACTTGCTCGAACCATGGCCTCCATGTACACCGATGTAGGTCGGCATTCCGGAACCAATAGTACCCATGCACCCAAACCCGTGACGCGCTCCAACTGCCGGCCCGAAGCAAACCCTCAACCCCTTAAGGAAGTCTAAGCCTAAGCCCTGAGACCCGACTCCAAACCACTTAGGGAACCCAAGCGGCCTTCACACGAAACCTCTGATGGAAGCCGTATACAAGGTAACCACCCCCCCCCCAAGGGAAGTCGGTCCTGTTCGGCACCGGTCTGCTGAACCATTGGCGCTCCTGGAGGGTTGCTTCGTAGGATTGGAGGGCTCAGAGCTTATAGGGCTAGATCGCATGGGGTTGGGGATTCGTTTGGAGTTTGGGCTTTGGGTTTATTTATTTAGGTGTTTGCGAAGGTTTTCCCTCAAATCCGGAACGCTGAGCCAGTACACCCCTAGTGCTCGGCTCTCAGGCGTGCATTTCTTCAAGTTGCCTTGAACCCGCAACCCCAAACCCTCAACCCTGAACCCTATCCTCTGAACTTCTCAACACTGCTAAAACCCCGAACCCTGAACTCCAAGCCCCTGCCCTAAGGCCGCTGTCCTCGGTTCACCCAGCTGAAGATCCAGGAGAACGGGCTGGCCAGCCAAGACCTAGGGCTTAAAGAGGTTAGGGGTTAGGGTTTTGGGGATGTTTGAGGTTCAGGCTGAGTAAGTAGTTGGCAACATCTACCAGAGCATCTGCAGGAGATTGCCTTGGGCCATGCTAGCAAAACCATAACCCAAACCCCTCAAGCTCGGGGAGGCATGGTCGACTTCCATCTTCAGGAGATCCAAGTTGCTTTGTTTAAGGTTTGGTGTCAGGCCTTTTAGGCCTTAGGGTTCAGGGCCCTCAGCCCTCAGGCCCTCAAGCCCTCAAGCCCTGAAGCCCTGAAGCCCTGAAGCCCTGAAGCCCTGAAGCCCTGAAGCCCTGAAGCCCTGAAGCCCTGAAGCCCTGAAGCCCTGAAGCCCGCAAGCCCTGAAGCCCTCAAGCCCTGAAGCCCTCAAGCCCTGAAGCCCTCAAGCCCTGAAGCCCTAAACGCTGAAAGCGCGAAACTCTCACAGAGAAGCGCGAAACCCACAGGCAGCGTCCAGCCGTGAAACCCACAAGCGCCAGAGAAGGTTTCGACACTACCCCATCAACCCCGAAACCCATTTTTTTGTTGAGCAACTACCCCATCAACCCCGAACCCATTTTTTTTTAGCAACCCTAAACCCGAAACCCTAAATCCTAAAACCCAGGTGAAGGTCATGGGGGGTGGCTAGGTATAGCTGGTTGCAGATATAGCCTCATGCTGGGTACCACTCTGCTGATAACTACCCACGAAGCTTCAAGTGGTCTTCTCGAAGCCTAAGCGTGAATTCTAAACCATAAACCCCAAACCCCTGAACCCTCAACGGGGCTCCCCACAGCGGCGGGAAGGAGAGCAGCATGCTGAGCAGGTCCAACCTCCGCACTCGGAAATCTCTGAGGGAGCGCTAGGGCTCAGGGCTTCAGGGTTTAGAGTTTTAGGGTTCAGGGTTTAGCTTAGGTTTTAGGGTTTAGCGCTTTTAACAGTTCCGGGTTTGGGGGCTTACAGGGCTTTAGGGTTGGGGGGTTAAGAAATTTGGGTCTAGCTTCTTATAGGGCTTTTTGGGTTTTTGGGTTTTGGGCTTAGGGATGAAGGGCTGGTTTGTAGTGTTTCAGCGCTTTAAAATTTGTAGCTCGCAAAGGGCGCTAGGGTTTGTAGGGGCTTTTTTGGGGGGGAATTTAATATTAAGCAAGCAATTCGTCAGGATTTCAAGTTTGTGGCAGCCTTGGGGAGCCGTTCTATGGGGAGCGCTGGTGGCTTTCAAGCTGGCTGAAAGTTTAGGATTTGCACAAGGGGACCCGCGACCCTCAACCTCCATACCCTGGCTCCTCCCCGAATGCCAGGTCCGCGACACCCAGTAAAAAGGCCAGAGGTAGTCGTATCCCAGGAGGATGCCTGGGGCGTGCTGAAGGGCTGGTAGAGATTCGCGCCGTGGGCTTTAGGGTTTAGAAACCCCTTCTATGATCCCACTTACCAGACTTACTACTTGCGTAAGGGTATCTGTAAGTGGACTCGTGCGGGCCGTTTATTAGATTTGTCTGTGTGTGTGTGTGTGTGTGTGTGTGTGTGGGTGGGTGTGTGTGTGTGTGTGTGTGTTTCTTTGCAGGGAGGGCGGGCCGTCTCTATCACATGTTCCTCATAGAGTTCGGCACCCCAGGAGGGCCACATGTAAACGCAGATCAACTAGCCCGCTGAGAGTCTTAGGGTTTAGGGTTTGGGGTTTGGGGTTTAGGTTTTAGGGTTTAGGGTTTAGGGTTTAGGGTTTAGGGTTTAGGGTTTAGGGTTTAGGGTTTAGGGAGGTGTTAAAAGGGGCATTTGGGGGCTTCAGGCCCGCCCCCAACCCTCTTACAGCGTAGGGGCCATGTGGTGATGGGGGCTCAGGGGCTGAGCGCATTTGGTGCTTAAGGTTCGAGTTTACGGTTTGGAGCTGCGGGTTTTGCTGCTTAGAGCTTTCGGGTTTAGGGCTTAGGGAGGTGCTAAGAGAGGCATGTGGGGGCTTAGGCTCACCCAAACGCTTAGGGCTCACCCAAGCCCTACCCGAGACCTTGACCCCTATAGCCCCTAAACCCTAAACCCTAAACCCTAAACCCTAAACCCTAAACCCTAAACCCTAAATCCCTCCTGACCTTCAATTCCAGCAAAGGAGCCCAACACCCAAACGCCGCCAAGGGCTGCAGCGACCTGCAGATGCTGCGGAGTCTAGGGTTAAAGCCTGCGGCATGGGGACCAAGCCTAGGGTTTAGGGTTTAGGGTTTAGGGTTTAGGGTTTAGGGTTTAGGGTTTAGGGTTTAGGGTTTAGGGTTTAGGGTTTAGGGTTTAGGGTTTAGGGTTTAGGGTTTAGGGTTTAGGGTTTAGGGTTTTTAGGGTTTAGGGTTTAGGGTTTAGGGTTTAGGGTTTAGGGTTTAGGGTTTAGGGTTTAGGGTTTAGGGTTTAGGGTTTAGGGTTTAGGGTTTAGGGTTTAGGGTTTAGGGTTTAGGGTTTAGGGTCCAGGGTTTGGGAGAGTGATTGCGCGGAGCACGACGGGCAGGAATGGCGCGGAGGCGCCAAAAAAAAAAAACGGAACCCGCCGGCCCAGGTAGTCGGCCACTTGCGGCTTCGTGGGAATTTACAGAGCGATTTAGGGTTTAGGGTTTAGGGTTGGGTTTGGGGTTTAGGCTTCAGGATTTGGGGTACTTGAAGTTCATGAGCTGCTTCTACTAGTACCACGAATTTCCAAGCCGCACCGGAAAACCCGAAACCTTACTCCTCCAATTCACTAAACCTAAGCATCGAACCTTCCTACCCTAAAAACCCTGAAACCCTAAACCTTAGTACCCAGAAACCCTAAACCCTAATTCCCTAAAGCCCTGAAGCCTTAGCTCTCGACGTTACAATGTAACGTATGAACCTCCAAGTATATTGCTCGAAAAGCCCCAAACCTTGCAACCCAGTTTGACGGAAGCGTACAACCCTAAACCCTAAACCCTAAACCCTAAACCCTAAACCCTAAACCCTAAACCCTAAACCCTAAACCCTAAACCCCAGCAAGAGGCCTTCTTCATGGTCTCGGGGTCGAGAGCGCCCTTTGAAGGGCGGCCATGGACTTTCCGCTCCTCCTCCGGCGGCTGTTCTTGATTGATTTAGGGTTTCGGGTTTAGGGTTTAGGGCTTAGGGTTTAGGGTTGAGGGTCTTAGGGTCTTGGGGTCGTAGGGTCTTAGGGTCTTAGTCGCTGCAACGCCTGGCAGTTCACCAGGCCCTTCACCAGCCCGTCCAGCTGGCTGTAGTACGGGCAGCCAGAGCACCACAGCCCGCGGCACAGCTGGCGCAGATTGAGGCGCGGCTGCTTCTCTGCCATCGCCAGCAATGCCTCCTGCTGCAAGGTGATCACGACGGCCAGGCTAGGCTGTGACTCAATGCAAACGGCAGTGTTTGGCAGAACCCCGACTTAGGGTCTTAGGGTCTTAGGGTCTTAGGGTCTTAGGGTCTTAGGGTCTTAGGGTCTTAGGGTCTCAGGGTCTTAGGGTCTTAGGGGTCTTACAGAGCTCTGTAGGCGGATCCAAGGGCCACATTAAGGGACCATGTAACTTCCCCCAGCCTCTTCGCGGCCTAAACCAAGGCCCTAACGATCCTCTGCGTGGAGGCTGCTCCAAACCAGGAAGCTGTAAACACTAAGCCCTAAGCTCTAAACGCCAAAAGCTAAGCCTTAGCCCTGAAACTCCTAAATCCTAAAACTGCTAGAGCCCTAAAACTGCTAAACCCCTAAACTCCAAACCCTAAACCCTAAACCCGAAAACTCCTACCTAGCACAGCCATCAACTCGCAAACCTGAAGCCCGAAAACCCAAAAAATACCCCTAAACCTGAAACCCAAACCCGAAATACCCCCAACCCCAAACCCTAACTCCCCAAAACCCTAAATCCTGTACCCTAAATACCCCAAACCCTCAACTCCCACATGAAGGCAAAAGGGTGCCTGGCCGCCGCTGTAGGCCTCAGGGCCAGCGCGAGCATCACCCTAAACCCTACAAGCCTAAACGCACTCAAAACCCGAAACCCTAAACCCACTTGAGGGTCCTGGGGGTTTAGGGTCCTAAACCCTAAACCCTAAACCCTAAACCCTAAACGCCAAGATCTAGGGTTCAGTGCATGGGACTTAAGTTTTCGAAGCCCTGGCCTGATAGGGCTGGATGTTGGGCGGGGCCATGGACACGAACTTGTTCTGCCCGTGGGGCGACCTGGGCTGATTGCTGCTGGCCCTCTTGGGGTCAGGGTTTAGGGTTTAGGGTTTGGGGTTTGGGGTTTGGGGTTTAGGGTTTAGGGTTTAGGGTTTAGGGTTTAGGGTTTAGGGTTTAGGGTTTAGGGTTTAGGGTTTAGGGTTTAGGGTTTAGGGTTTAGGGTTTAGTGTTCAGCCGGTTTTGGAGTCTAGCCGGTTTAGGGTTTAAAGCAAGTGGCTTAGGGTTTAGGGTTTCGAGCTGCCTTAGCCGGTATAGGGTAGGTTGAAAGTTTTAGGCTTCGGTTTCGATGATTGAAGGGATGCTGGAACTAAACTTAAGCCTAGAACGAAACGGCAGGAAGGTACCTATGAGGGCATCCTACTATTTGGGTCTATCAGCAGACCCCAGCAGAGGAGGAAGGGGTGGTCAAGATGTTGGTCCCTTTCCGTACCTCTGTTGCAAAACCTTCCGGTTGGGAGAACCCAACAGGAGACTTTGGGGCTAAAGGGTTTCGAGCTTAGGCATTAGGCCTTAGGGACGTAGAACCCCATATGCCGCACGCAGGCTCGAGGTCGTTGGAGGTGTTCTCCGGATTGTAGCCATGGCGTTTCATGGCTTCCAAGAGGCACCGAAAACTAACTGGGAGGGGGGCGGAGTGATCTGACAGTCATGGGTTCTTTTTGGCACCCTGAACTCTAAGGAATCTACTCGGATAGAAACCCAAAAGGCCCAGCTGAAACCTTTGGGGGGTCCACTGGAGGGTCTTGTGGCTGACGTCTTGGGCAAAGGTTTGGGGTTTGCTAGCAGGATCTAGGGTTGCGTGGCTGAGGGGCTAAGAGTCCCCTAGGAGGGGGAGCAAAACTGAGGGGGCGAAGCCCCAAGCTAGAAGCTTGACGCCGCAACGGCACGTCGAGGGCGGGCACGCCCATCACGAGGCTCCAAGGGGTTCTAGGGGTTTGGGGTTTGGGGGTTTAAGGGGTTTGGGGTTCAGGGTTTGGGGGTTAGGGAGGGTTCTAGGGCTTTCGTGGGTTTTAAGGTTTGGTTTGGGGTTGAATTAGGGTTTAAGTTTTTGGGTTTTGGGATGCGGGCTTGGGGGTTTGGAATATGTTCTTGGAGGTTCATGGCTTGCGAAAAGTTTCGTTTGTAAGTACCCCAAGAAAAACGTGACAGTCGAGTGCCACTATAGTGAACCTCAAATGCGGGCTCTTTCTTTGGGATCCGTAGATACCTGCACCCAAGCAAACCCTAAACCCTAACCCTAAACCCTAAACCCTAAACCCTAAACCCTGAAAGACTTCCGACATTCTGCCCAAGGTCCCATGGTCCATTCTAGAGGCTCATACACTTAACAACAGAAGCAGGGCTTAGGCTTTGGGGCTTCGGTTTTAGGGTTCAGTTCAAGCTCGGAGATAGGAGACCTTCTCGGTTTAGGGTTTAGGTTTAGGGTTTAGGGTTTAGGGTTTAGGGTTTAGGGTTTAGGGTTTAGGGTTTAGAGTTTAGGGTTTAGGGTTTAGGGTTTAGGGTTTAGGGTTTTGGGTTTCTTGGTAGCCCAGTACTGGCTTCGTAACCATTCTCTAATATGTATATCCTTTTTGGGGTTGGTTACTCTAACAACCTAGAACAAAAAGAATGGTACCGCTGGGCTACCAAGACTTCGTGCCTACTTCATCACTTTACAAGTACTTCTAGACCCCTAGAACCGAGAAGCTTTACTCCATAGAGACTTCTCAGATTCGGGTCACAGCTACAGGCATCTGTCTAAACCCCATTCAGACAAAGCAAGAACCATCCTGATCCTTCGCTGCTTGCGACGGGACGTCGCCCTTTTCGACGCTAGTCTCCGCGCAGCTCGCGCAACTCCTTTGCAAGCGGCCTGGCGCGCCGGCAGGGGCGACTCGGAGGTTCATGGGTACTTCTAATACCAATGAGAAGTCAACTTAGAACCTATACTAAAAGGACTTGGGGGAGGGTAAAAAGTGGAGTTTTAACTTGGGGTTACAAGTAACCTGAACCTCCAAGCAGGGTCTTAAGTTCAGACTTCCGGGCTTCGGGTTGAGGGGTATTCGGATTTTGGGGTTGAGTCTGTTGGTCTTTGGGGGTTTAGGTTTTGCTGGTTTGGGTGTAGGGTTTCCAGAAAGGTCCAGGGGTTAGCTGCTTGAGCTTTTATGATTTGCAGGGCTTTCATATCCAGCAACTCGAATCAGCCCTAACTACTCCCAGCAACCTTACAGCCCAACACCCTACAAAGCCTAAAGTAGCTCTTGAAAGAACAAGCCGTATAGACAGCCCGCTTCAGGCTTTATGACCTTCCCGACAGGCCAGAAACCATGCCCTAACACAAAACATCGTTCTCACATGGTTGCCTTCGGCTTGGTGAGCTTGAACTGGGTGGTGCTTTGAACCCTTTGAAGCAAAGTAAAAAAGGGAAAACGAAAAGCTATCCCAAAGCACCTGGTTCCCTAAACCCGAAACCTAAACCTTAACCCCTAAACCCTAAAACCGCATGGTTGCGTTCGACTTGGTGAGCGTATTTGCTGAGACTCCACAAGCATGAGGGGGAGTGCTTCGAGGGCGCGCTGGCGCCTTGTTCAGGCTTGGGGCGTGGGCGGTTTACGGTTTTTGGGGGCCTTGGGGGCCTTGGGGGCTCTGGGGGTTTAGGGTTTAGGGTTTAGGGTTGAGGGTTGAGGGTTTAGGGTTTAGGGTTTAGGGTTTAGGGTTTAGGGCTAAGGGTTCAGGGTTGAGGGTTTAGGGCTCAGGGTTCGCCCCTTACCTTCCAACATGCCCCCGGGCGCCTCAGCGAGGGCTTCCAACCTCAGCGCGGCAAAGAGAGATTAAAAGCAGCCTTAGGGTTTAGGGTTTAGGGTTTAGGGTTTAGGGTTTAGGGTTTAGGGTTTAGGGTTTAGGGTTTAGGGTTTAGGGTGTAGGGTTCAGGGTGTCTAACTTACATAGCAGGGCTTTCTACTGTGGTTAGGGTTCGGAATTCGGTCCGCCGAGATCATCCCGAAATGGGTAAGAAGCTGAAGGTTTCCGAAATTAGGGGTACCTTATCGGGGTCCATATTATCAGGAAATCCTATTATTCGGGGGTCTATACTAGCGGTCCCTGATTTTTAACCCCTATATGTTTTCCTAAACCCTAAACCCTAAACCCTAAACCCCAAACCCTAAACCCTAAAACCCTAAACCCTTCCCATCTAGAGGAGGGTGGCAGAGGGTTTTGGGGCACGCTCCGGGTCTAGTTCGGCCCCTGGGAGCGGTTCGGAGCTTAGGGTTTATGGAGTTTAGGGTGTAGCTCAGGGCTTGTTAAGGTCTAATTATAGCGTTCTGAAGGGGGGGTTCAAGGGGGGTAGGTACCTCATCTTTCAAGACAGCATCGTCAGCAACAACCCTCGCTCAGCAAAATCAAGCAGTTCGGGCTCTATGGCGAGGTGAGGAGTGGATTGACAGGTGGGCGTGGTGTGGATGGAGCAAGCAAGTTGAGAAATGAGGAGAATGCACCTGAGGATGCTGAGGTCGTCGAAAGAAAGACCTTCATCACTGCCTCCTCAAGGGAAATCCTCGTTGCTGGTGCTTTTGATGGCACTCTGGATGTGACCTTCTTGATGGTCTCGGCGTCGGTGTCTGTGGCAAACTTCACAATAAACGCCACATTCGCAGTTACAACCAAGCAGATGGAGAACTACAATCCACGATGGAGACAGCCAAATGCATGATGAGTTTCCTGCTCCTGAAGACCTACATCAACGGCAGCGCCAAAAAGGGATGGGAAACCTTCCGCACGGATGTTGAGTTAGGGAGCCTTATAGGGAATAGTGGGGAGCACATGCCCCCCCTTGAACCTCCCTCCCGT